AGGACAACATCTACCTAAAGAGGTCAGTTATTTCTACATTAATTCACCTGACACCTGGAGTAAGCTGAGGTGGGTGGTCTGTTATCAGCTTGTTGACTTGTTCTCTGGAACATCGGATGATGGAAAGACGCTCAGTCAGGGCCTTTTTGAAGGTCATTGAGCCGCCCATGGCTTTGCGTGTCCTGAAACGTCCAAGTAACACATTTTTGTTTGTTCTAAACACCCACAACAAATCCATTAAAAAAAATTAAAATCCACCTACATTTCAGTGACTGCATCCCCCACACCACAGAATTTGGCGAGTTCATCAATGCCTTCTTCCTTGATTACTGTGCTGTCCACATCAAAGCAGACAGCTTCAGCTCTCCTGAAGAGCTCCTTTGTCTGCGACAGCGTTGTCATCATGCTGGGAAATTACATTAAAAAAAATCTAGTTGGGGGGGGGGGGGGGGGGGGGGGGGGGGGGGGGGGGGGGGGGGGGGGGGGGGGGGGGGGGGGGGGGGGGGGGGGGGGGGGGGGGGGGGGGGGGGGGGGGGTAATTGTCATCAGCAGGGTCCCGTGCTGCATTTGTTGATTCAACGTGAGGTCTGTGATTTTGGCCAGCGGCTGCCTGATTTCACTAATGCACTAAGTCTTGTATAGAAAGGATGTCTTTCATCCAGTGGAGCAGCAAACGCATCTATTCACTCAAATACCTATGTGCAATCGACGGGGATCACCTCCCAGCCGATGATGTGTGCCAAAGTGCGTTACAAAAAGCAGTGTGCTTAAACAAACCATAGGAGAGGCCCGGGATGGACATACTCTGCGCGTATTGCGTCACCCAGAGGGTCACTACTGAGGGGCAGCATAACCAACAACAAACGTGAAGACACTGAAACTGGGCCAAACGGCTCGTATATAGTCATGAAAATGACGATATATCACGGCTGTACGTTGAGAATAAGCGGGCTGTTATCTGTCCGGTGCAGCTGATTTGAACGCTGCTCAACTGCCGACAACTCGAGAGACAGCACCAGGCAGGAAAAAAAATACTTAAAAACATTAGGACAGTCCTGTAGTACTTACCGGCGAGTGCAGCGACGATAAGGCACGAACAGCAGCTTCAGCATAAAAGCCGACAGCTCTCGGTGGGCTCGTGAACGAGGAAGAAAAGCACTGAATGGTGGGCCAATCAGAGAGAAGCCGATTAGGGCCCGCCCACTACATCACTGGCTCGGTTCCATGACGACACCAGCGGCGAAAGAGGGAGAAAAACAACTACCATAAATAACGAGCGCAAAGGCGAAAGGAAGCGATTGAAAAGAGACAAAAACGAAGTAAAACAATAACATTAAGTCACATCGGCTTCAAATGGCCACTAAGATATGTAACAACTACAAAAGAGAGAAAATGATGAAAAAGAGACACAAACAAACCTCCAAAATTTGCAAGACACCAACTTTTAAGAGGACATGAAACACTAAACATATAAAGGCTAATTAACATCATGGAACCCTGCTCTCAAAATCAGGCACAGATGTGACACTGTCTATGAAGCTAGATTTAAGAAAAAATATGGGCTCAAATTGTGGTCATAAATATTTTGTACTTGTAAATCAGAATGCGTATATTTGTGCATCTGTAGATAAGAATTTGTGTGTGCGTAAAAAAGATTTGTGTGTGTAAAAATAGTTACACAAGTTACTAATTCTTGTTAAGGTCTGGTTACAGATACAAAGCAAACAAAAAAAATACGTGTGAAACTCTGCACTCAAGTTTTAACTTACAAGTACGAACTTTGACCCGATTTTACTTCCTTTCAGCTGAATGGTCAATGTCATGACAATCACAAATTTAACTAACAATTTTTTTGCTTTGTATCTATAACCAGGCCTTAACAAAAATAATTTGTAATTGGGGAAATATTTTTACACACACAAATCTTTTTTACGCACACACAAATTCCTATCTACAGATGCACAAATATACGCATTCTGATTTACAAGTACAAAATATTTATGACCACAATTTGAGCACATAACCATGCTGCCACATCAGGCTTAACCACCCAGTTTTAGGTTTAGTCAGTTTCGTCTGTGTAAAAACAGCATGAAGTACACATTTACTTTTTAATAAAAGTAAAAATATACATTGAAACTCCCACTGTCGCCATATTCCCCCCTATTTACTATTTAGATTTGAATATCTCTGAGTGTGTCAGGTGTTTTTTCACCTGTTCTTAAACTTCTTGACCCTGGTCCCAGACAAAGACCAAATATTATTATAAAAGAAATAAAACTATGAAAACTAAATAAATAAAACATTAAATATAAAGTACACAAACTCTGAGCACAAGTTATTACCATTAAGGTATTTCATATCTGTACTCTGTACATAAAATAAATGTCATAATTTATTCTACACTGTTATACTCTTAATGGGTATAATTTGCTGTGTGTTTGCAAAAATATGTTTTTACATACAAAAAGCAGGAAAAATAATGCACATATGATCTGATCACCATTTGCTGAGTCCACTGTGTGCATTTGAAGATGAATATGAATTTACTTTAAACAATTATCTTGGCAAAATACAGCTTGATTACTAGATTGATTGATTGATTGATTATTTGGGCATTTTGCATGAACATATACCAAAATTCATAATATTCAGTTAATTTTTTAAATGACACAAACAATATAAACATACAGGGAACGCCGAAGTCAGACCAACCTATGACATGCAATGTAAAAGCCCAAATGAGTTATAGAACAATGAAAACAATGTGTGTGTGTTGCCTTTAGGTGTTGTAGATCTAAATAGGTTTTGATGTTTTTATCTGTCATCATTACCAATTGAGTTTACGTGAAATAAAATGTGTTAAATAAAAAAATCAAAAATTTAAATAAAATTAACATTGACATTTAAAACATTTTTTAAATAACACAAAGTAGGTGTGAAAACAACACAAAGATATAAAGAATTCTCAACATTTTATCCCTGGAAACGTTCCTGGATATTAGCTCCTGTGAAAATGAAAAATGACTGAAGAAAGGTAAGCAAAAAGCTCCTACAATAAGCAAAGAAGAAGAAAAACAACCATAAAGGTTAATAAGAAGCAACAAGAGGCACACAGAGCTGTTAAAGAGGCGCGAAATTAAAAAGGCAGTTCAACCTGTGTAAAATTCAATCTAAAGGCTTTATCTATGAGTCAGATTCTTTAAAGAAACTGTGACGCTCTGATTTAATATGTGCTCCAGTTAACCTCCCGTCCAGAAGGGGGCGCTGGTGCACGCCGAGCTGTTTCTGTTTCACCCGCCACAAACTGGAGGGAAAAGAAGAGGAAAAGTCTTTAGCGTGGTTTATCCGGACGTATTTTGGTTTGCTGAAGATGTGGCCTTATAGACATCATGTAGAAGTCACCGTGGAGTTTTGTGAATGGAAAACGTTCTTGAAGAAACGAAGGTTAAATTATGAGGCTGTAGCGTGACGCAGGTGAGTTTTCCCCCCCATTCAGGTTGAAGGTATTTAGTTAACGGCACGTGTTTCCATGAACACGTGGTGGACCCGATAATTTGTGTAAATTGTGTTCACTTGTGAATTAATTTACTTATTTTCCGTAACGCCACCATGCTGTAAGAACACTCTCATAGGTTGTAACTATGTGGATAAGGTGTTACCTGACAGCTTAAAGGTGGAATCCTGTGCAGGATGTGCATTTGTGTTTATTTGTGCTTTGTCGTCGTTGCTTGTTGCACAGGGTGGTACTGGAGGTGATATCCGGAGTAATCATGCGGGAGCTCCCATCCTGAAACACGCAGATCTCCATGTGGCTGAAGCGAGCGGCAGATGCACACCGTTCTTAATATACTATAAGGTACAAATGAAACACAGGGGAAGTGACTGAGTTAGTTAATGCCAAAGCAAAACCACGTGTCTTTTCAGGATATAACCAGGGTGAGTGTGTTCCCAAGCAAAAAAAAACGTATTCCACTTATCCCAGTCTGTTCCATCACTACACTTTGCATCACTACACTTTGTGTGGCTTTTATTCAGAGGGTCTATGGAGATGTTGTTTCGTACTGAATATTCTGAATGGAAAGTTACTTTCAACTGGTCCCTTATTCATAAGCGGTCACCACAGTGGGTAGTTGTTTAATTTGAACCACTGCGTTAATCTCAAGCAGTTTGGACTGTTGTAATGCTCTATCATCCTTCTTTTATCATCCTTCTATTTGTTGACAAAGCACTGAGTGGTTTGGTCTCCCCAGTATTTATCTGACTAGGTCACTGTCTATAACATAGTCTGACCTCTCAGATCATCATGCAGATGTTTAATTATCCCCAGAAATGCATGTAATTCCTCTTTTCACTAGCATCTACTCAGCTCAACTTGGTTTTAAGCGTTTTCCATTAAGTGGTAGTGCCTGGTACCAGGTTGTTTTGTTTTCTTGGCCGGGGTAAGTCATGAGAGCAACTCTTTCATAAGATTCAAACTCACCATTTTTGAAGGGGAAACGAGGGAAATTACTACACAGTGACCAAAACAGAGTAGAATGGAGTGGAGTCGAGGAGGTGTTGTTGGAAAAAGGCAATGAAAAATATTGTGCCGAGGGTGCTTTTCAGCTGCTAGTGCTCCTGATCTTTGGAACGAGCCACCTGCTGACCTGAGATCAGTTACAAACAGGCTCAAAACCTTTTATTCTCCCAGAACTCAGCTCATAAGTGTGAACTGGTGTTTTACTACTTTGTAGTAAGTTTTATTTTGCAGTTTTCATTTTAAACCTACATACCTTTTTATGTTTTTATCTTCTACCCATTCACTTGTCAAGTGAAAGGTCGTTGATTCGATTCCATCTGGAAATGAATTTCCCTCTAGGGGTTGTATCAGGAAGGGGATCTGGATATCAAACATGCAAAGCTACCCTCTGCCGTGACTCCTTTGCCAAGGGAACAGCCGAAAGCTTGAGTGTAGTGAAATGTACTCTATAAATAAAATTACAGCTTGAATTTTGAATGCATGGCTGAATTCTGTTTTGCTCTGGATGTAGTAAATACAGTCAGACACCATGCGACATGAATGCTTTCACAAACTGACTCAGCAGGATGAGGGTGCTCATTGTGCTTCTCATTCTTATGTCAGAGTGAATACATCAACGGCCTCGTTCCTTCAAAGCGATTCAGCCGGTATATTAATGATCTGTTGCTCAACATTGCTTGCTGTCTTCCTCCCTGTTGATGCTCTGTGCTGTTGGCTTGTTTCCTGTTTTATTAGCTCAGATTTATCTCATAGCTTCGGTTCTCCTTCTGTTTCAGCGTGTCTAAACATTTACATGAAGTGCAGCTCGACCGGTCGCCAGCCTCTGGGGAACATCCCGAGGATGGTATGTTATTAGACTTGTTAACTTAAAGGCATGGGCGAATTCTGGTCCAGCTGCTCTGTGCTGGATACAGTCAGACACCATGCAACAGCCACGTCTCATTTCCACTAAATTAGTGGATGAGTGCCTTCCTCAAGCTCATCCAGCTGCGTGGGAATGAGTACAAACACACATTTGGCTATTCCTGATGGTTTCATATTGATTTATTCTGTTTTTCTAAATTCTGCAGGATGAAAGCTTCCAAAGCAAGACTGTGGGGACAACGGTCAACACACTCAAATCTGTCTGAAGTCGGTGAACCTGTGGTGTTTTTTTTGATGTGCATCTCACTCTGTTGATAATAAACTTTAAAATTGTAATTCTTTTTTGTCTGTGTGTGTCAGTGTTCTACTTCAAGCTTAAAAATGCTGCAGAAAGACAGAAAAGCACAGAATTGCAGAGCTGAAGTACCCCTCCATTTGCAGGACTTGGGGTTTTACATGTTTTAATAAATACATTCATAGCATACAAGTTAAAGTTACACTTCCCTTGAGTTGCTGCCACCAGAGCATACTCTGCATATCGATTAAGTAGGCACATAGTTCTCAAACTGTAAATACACGCAGGTTTTATATTCCAGCCAGATAAACTGCAGGTATTTCCCACAAGGTTTCACAATAGAGTATAGACTTAACTAAACTCTACATTTTCCTCCTGAGTCACTCTTTAACATTTGAAATATAAACAGTTTTTAGAGTGCAAAGGCTATAAGAATACCATGTAGTGCTGAAAAAATTTTTTTGTTAATATACAGGGTGTATCAAAAAAAATAATTGGAATTAAAAGCGCCTTAATTCCACAGCCATTCGCCGTTTAACGATCAAAAGACGGACATGTGCTGTTAGAGCAGATTCGAGTTTTACATGGTTGCTGGTAAGAACAACAGCAGCGACTCCAGACATGCTCTCCAAAGTATGGGCGAGGTTTAACTGCCGAGGGAGACACATCAGGCATTTGCAAACGTAACTTTTTGTATATTCAGCCATGTACTTTAAAATTTACCATAAGTTTCTATGTTCATTAAAAAGTACAGCCTTTTGAAATCTGATTATTCTTTTTTGATACACCTTGTATTTGAGGGGCTGCATCCGATCTAAAGAACAGCAGCTGCATTTTCATAGGACACAAGCTGACAATGGGTTGAGTACACTTTTAGAACAAAGCAAGCACAATGTCACCAGTGGCATGGTCGAAAATTTTGCCAAACATTTCAGTCCTTGAGATAAATCAATCCCCCTGTAGTCACTACGGCTGCTTTTAAAAAATGCTGCATTATGCATAAACTAGTTGTAGCAGTTCTTTTCTACAAAGAAAGAAGTTTAAATGTTTCCCCATGTAAAACTCAGCATGTGTCAGTCCACGCTGCTTGTTACTGGATGGGCTCGTCCGCTTCAGTGGCGATCGAAAGCAGGATGGTTTTGGCCGTGTTCTCAAAAAGTGCTGCTCTGTTCTGGGTTTGGCCCTTCTTGACCCAGTGGCCGTAGATCTTAAAGGCGCACGCATCTATGAGCTTGCGGATGGGCTTCACGGCGTACGGGTCGCTCTTTATCACCTCCTTGGTGATGGGCTTGGCACGGCGATAGTTGCAGTAGATTCGCATTGTAGCGAGAACGGTCAAGCAAATAACCTGATGGAGAAAGTTCAGAAAAGGTTATGGTTTCTTTATGAACTATCAAAGACAGTAAAGTTGTAGTAGACAGAAATAGACAGAAATTTAGGGGGGAGCAAGATCCAGGTTTTTTTGGAATTAGGGTTATATTTTGATCGAGATATGATAATGATACCATAAAATATATCCCTCAAATATGAAAACTATTAAGATTTTTAGTTTGATAAAATCTTGTGTTTCTCACCTTGAAGCGCCTGAACGGAGTGAATTGTCGTACTTCGTGCACCACGTACTGTGAAAAGAACGAGTGGTTCAGAACATCTGTAGCTGTGAAACGCTGCTTTGGATCCACCACCAGCATCCGCGAGATCTGGAGGAAGAATTATTTTAGTTCCAAGGTTTCAACCTTATCACCTAACTTATAAAACTGAGATTGCAACAAACTGCGAAAGTAAGATTACCAAATCTTTGACCGTGTCTGAGCGGTCTTCCCATTCAGGAGAGGAGAAGTCGTACGTCCCCGCTAAGATCATGCGCAGCATCAGTATCTGTTTCCTGTGCCAGAACGGTGGAGAGCCCGCGAGCAGCGTGTACATGATAACACCTGAACTCCATCTGCAAACACGAGCCAGGACAAAGTTTATCTTGTCTGTTCACTGTGCAGTGTGTACATGCATAATCTAATCACCTGGAACACGTATAAGCCGAGCCACACAACAGATAATATGAGTCATTATTTTGTACACAGGCTTGTGAGATAATTCTAGCACACTGCTGAGGTGCATAAGATCAATTTTGGTAACATGAGAGTAAAGCTGGCACTCCCTCCTATTGATATTTTTGTTACTTGGTAACCGATTTCATGGTCGCTCACATGTCCACAGCTGTACCATATCCTGAATGTCCTGCGTCCATAGAGCACTCAATGATCTCAGGAGCAAGGTAACCAGGAGTCCCACACACCTCTGCATTACAGACAGGAAGAGTAAATAAATGTTATTAAAGGGAGCATATTCCCTGATCTTTGTCAACATAAAACCACTTTTACAGAATTTCAAATAACGCTTAAACGCTTAAGAGGTGTTCATTTACATGTATTCATGAGTCTATCCTTGTCTACATGCAGAATTGTTCTTAGGCAAGAACCCTAAAAATTGCCCTCAGTGTGTAAATCAGGCGTGGAGGCCATGGATTTTGAATCACTAGTTAACCTAAACTAAACTAATATGTTTAGACTGTGACGGGAAGCAGGAATACCTGGTGTAATCCCACACAGGCACAGAGAGAACATGCAAAGGCTACAGCCAGGATTTCAACTGGGAATCTTCTTGCTGTGAGGCAACAGTGCTGACCACTCTACCACTGTGCAGCCCTATTACAGCTGTGTGTCTGCCCAAGGCACTCTCTGACTTCTGTATGACCTCTGTTCTTTATGTGACCCATAAACGATCCTGTGCTGTTTTACTATTTCACTGTGTGGAGATCCCCCTGATGGTCCTTTAAAGACCTGCATGGGCAGGTCTCTGCAGGAACCTGGGTAGATGTGGAGGGAACACCAGTATTTTTCATGACAGAACTCTGTCACCACTTTCCTATACAAAATACACACAGACATGTCACGCAGAGTTTTAAGACGCCCGCCATTTCCTTCGATTTGATTCATGCTGGTGGATCTAAAACCCATCTGAATAGATTTGAGTCAAATTTGACCCAAACGGTATGTAAGGGTTAAATATTTACTATCCTCATTGTCTATTAATATCTCTACAACTACAAAAGTGACACACAAATAGATGATATATTAAAAGAAAAAAGTAATACAGTATCTTAGGGAAGTGTTTGGACATCACATTCAATGGGAATCAGTGCATCTCTACTGGAGAGACAAAACAAACTCTTTCAATTTAACTCAGTGTGGTTCAATTTTATTTATACTGTTTAACCGATCCAATTCACAGCAATATTCACCTCAAAGGGATTTATACTGCACGCTAAAGACCCTGAAAACCACTGTGTGAGTGAGCACTTTGAAACAGTGTGAAGGAAGAACTCCTTTTACCACAACTGGTTGGGCAGATCGAGCTACTTCCAAAAGAGTGACTATTGTCGGTGACTGATAAAAAAGAATTGTGTGAGAGGTGGAGTACAAACTTTTTGGGTTCTGAAGGAGGGCACAGCAGAGACAGTGTGAGAACTTCTGCTCACAGCTTTTGATTCTCCTCGTTTTTATCATCATCAAGCCATTCGGCATGCTCTCATGCCCTGTGGATGGAGATCTCACCCTGGAAGAGAGGTCTACATCCCGCTAGAAATATTACATTACGTTGAACAGCATTGTATTGATTTGAGAAACTCAGTACAAACTATGCCAATGTTCCACCTCAGCATAACAGAGCCACAAGATCCCCTCACTCAAGAGATTAGGTTTTTCCTTTAATTTAACATCCATCTTTAGGGAACATTTATAGCATAATTAAAGTATTATGCATTTAGACATTAATTGAGCACATTTAGATTAAGTGCTGCTTGGTCAAGTAGATCTCCAGCCTAATGGAAGAAGCCCATTACGTCTTTACCGACTGAACAAAACTATCCAGCGATGCACAGTTTCATTAGACGCTTGGCATTTCGCACTGCTAATGATCCGACTTCTGAGAAGTCTATTTGAAAGGTCAGTGTACTGTGAGTGTCTGGAACTGCAGCAAATAGATCAGAGTGTCCTGTTTCTTAACCTTTGTAAGAGCAGCTAAGAGAGCAGGGAGCTGTTGTGCAACCAGACCCAGATTCTCCGCTCACCACCAACAGCTGATGTCCTGACGAGTGCACTGCAGGCTGTAAACTGTAACTTTAATATTCACTCAACTCAGTGGTGGGTCTGAAAAGATGCACTGGTGTTTAACTGTCAGCCAACCTGTGAAAGCTTTTAATGCTTTAAGTATTTTTGTCATCTTTTGACAAGTTGTGTGATTACAGCCACCAGGTTTCTGAACTGCTGACACACCTTGCAGTAATGGAAGCTTTCACTGACCTTTGAGCGTCTGTCCTGGCTGAATCTGCACAGCGAAACCAAAGTCAGTGAGTTTGATGTTCATGTAGTCGTCTAAAAGGATGTTCTCGGGCTTCAGGTCCCGATGAACGATGTTCTGGGCGTGGAGAAACTGGACCACCTCCAATAGAGACCGCATGATCTTCCTAAAGACAACACGTACAAACCTTTAAAGAGTCCTTTTAAGAGTTAGCGGAATTTATCTGTCTTTTTATTAAATAACATGCTCACTGACCGTGTTTCCTTCTCACTCAGTGTAACTTTTTCTGTGAGGTAGTCAAAAAGTTCACCCCTCTTCATTCTGGGAAAAAGAAACTAAAAGCTTTGGTTGATTTTCACATAAATACCTGTTCAGGAATCATCCATGTGAAACACTTACAGGTCGAAAACCAGGAAGAAGAAGGCCTTGGACTCATAGCAGTCTTTGAGCTGAACTGGAGAAGAGAGTTACTTTGATATTTGGCCATGTTAGAA